GGATTAGCAGCAGGAGAGGAAGGAGGACGAGGGGTAGTAGGATGATGCGGGAGGTCACGGAGGAGCGGGAGGAACAAGCGGAGGTAGATACAAGGGCGGGGGTCGAGTGGGAGAAAGCAAATGTGCAATGTGCATGCGGAGGCGCATGCGGAGGAGGAGGAGGAGGCGGAGGAGGTGGAGCAGGGCGATTGGGACGACGATGATGAGGATGAGGGTGAGCAGGCACAGCAGGAGAGTGAGGGATGAGTGGCATGAGAAGGAGGAGAAGGTAGGTCGAGGTTTGGTGAGCGGGCTGGAAGAGGACGAGGAATGTGGAGTTGGATGGCGAGGAGGAGAGGCCGTCTCCGAGTTGTATCAGAACTACAAGTACGTGCCCCTGCTCTGCTCGAAGAACCTTGACGTGTTCTCAGAGACAGACGACGATGACAACACTTATTTCAGAAGGTTCAAAAGAGACGCCACTCCTCCTCCTAATCCTCCTCCTTGTCCTCCTCCTTCCCCACTCTACTCGAGGCTCCTCCTTCTCCTCCTCCTCCTCCTCCTTTCCCACTCCATTCGGGGCTCCTCCTCCTCCTCCTCCTCCTCATCCTCTCGTCGTAACCCTTCCACCCCTGCTCTCGTTGCCGCCCCCTCCTCCTCGCTTCATTCTGCCGCTCCTGAGGTTCAAGAAGGACGTGGATGCTTTGTCTCAGTGGCTCGATGATCACGAGAACGGCGAGGTTGCCACTAAGCTTGTGAAGGCGGACGAGATCTTCTGCGGAGAGGGGAAGCCGATGAACGACGACGGCTGCCTGAACAGCCAGTGGTTCCTGAATTGGGCTGGCGGCAGCGACAGTTGGGTGGGAAGCTTCACCGCGAGAGCACACCCATGTCCACTGCTTCTTGGCATCGCTCGGACGTGTGCATTTTTCCTCCGGCGAGGACCATCGAGGAGCATCCTTGCTCATTTGGCGAAAAAGCCGCGCACGAAACCGGAAAAAAACACAGGGAATGGACGTCCGAGCGATGGCGAGGCTTCGGAGTCGTGCTCAGAGACCTCGGGGAGTGGTGGATGTCAGCATCGTTTCACGTTTAACCTGGCCCCATGCCCGCTGGGCCGTGGCACCTCGGCCCCACCAGTCCACCTGGGCGGGGATAGGCCACGCGAACTCCGGAGCAGGCATACATCTGTACATATACATATACATGAATATATATATATATATATATATATATTCATACATCTATACATTCATATATATACATATATACATATATACATATATACGCCCACCTGGGTGGGCAAGCCGAACAGTTGGGCCAAGGTCACTCTGGAGGGGAAGGGCAGCGGTGAAACGATGCTCAGGATGGGGACATTTGTTCGCCCCTGATGGCGGAAACGCATCTGCACCCGCTGCTCCCCGGGCGCTCCGGGCAGGGCCCCAGGAAGCTAGTGCGGGCGTGGGCGTCGCTCGGCGGTGCAGGTGGGGAGCGCTTTCGGGCTGGTGGGCTGGGACAGTGCCACCGCGGAGGAGAAGTGGGCCCAGATGGCATCGATCTTCCAGTCCTTCAACGCGCAGGACCAGCGCGGTCTCCCTCGTCGGTCCCCTCCGTCATTCGTCCTTCCTCCCTCGCCTCCCTCCTCTCTCCTCCCTCGTCCCTCGTCTCTCGTCTCTCGCCTGTCGTCTCTCCTCTCTCCTTCCACCCCCCTAGTCGAGGAACAGACAACGGCATAAACATACTCTTTCGAAGCGCGCTGAGCTCCAACAACTTATGTTTACAGACAAGCCGCATAGTAAGGGTGGGCAACCTTTTCACGGGTACCGTACCCTTGCATCCTGGCCCTTCCGGCCCATCCTTGGCCACTTTCGTTGGCCAGCCTCGTTGGAACAACGCTGACAAGAGGCCCTTGCATCCTTACCGCGCATCCTCATGCTACGGGTTAACTGTATGCACTTGTGCGTTTTTCTGCCTGCACGGCGACGGTTCTGCAAAGTCAACATGCCACGACCATCTTCGCCACCGTAGGCGAATGGATCTGAACTACGCCGCACCGCGGCGTGCACCTCCTGGCACTCGGCCCTGCCACCTGGCAACCAGGGCTGGACCTAAACGGTGTTTGGGCGATTTCGATTTCGTGGGCCGTTTTCGTTTCGACTTCGTTTGCGGCAGAGGCGGATTGAAGACAAAACAAGGGAAAACGAAAACGGAAAACACCGTTTAGGTTCAGCCCTGCTGGCAACCTCGAACGCAATACATGTTCCAACGCGCCCACGGGGTAAGGCAGAGGGGGCGGGCCTTGGCAGAAGGCTCAGAAGTCCACCAGCCTTGTTGGAAGCTTCTGAAGCCTGCTCCGAAGACGTACAGTAGGGGTCTTGAAGAAGGAACCCTTTTCGTTGGGGAGGGGCTCGGTGTTCCTTGATTGGTTCACAGCTTGCCTTAGATTTTCCCAAGGTTTTCGATGGGCATCGATGGGGAATCGAAGTTTAACTTCTGGAGAAAAGGGGCCTCGTTCCTTATTTAGGGTTCCTCAGGTCAGCGCCCCGACTGTAGACGGCTTCTCAGATGGCTGGAGGGCTTCTGACAAGCCTCGCTGGCTTCTGGCCGGATCTCTTTTCTTCCGCGGGGTGGGGCCTCTGTTCGCGGCGCCCCGTTAGACTTTGGACCCCTGGTGGCGCGTGGATATTTGTCCTTCTTCCGCGCGCGCCTGGCCATCGGATAGAGTATATTATAACTGGCGCTTGAGAACAACTGGTACTAGTGTGTGTGTGTGTGTGAGCGTGCAGCTAATACTCGAGCGCGCCGGGTCCTAAAGTACAACATGAGGGTCTAATCAGCTGCAAGTGGCCATGCCAGCACAAGTACTGTAGCACACCTTGAGTACAGCGACGTCTGGAGTGTTGCTGCACTGCATTTGCAATCTGTGCTCCCGCGCTCTTCCTCTTATCGCGCCAAAGGGGGTGACACCCCGCGCTCGAGCACCCGCGCGGCTGGGAGTTCACTCCTCTTCCGACATTCGAGACGGGGGTGAGACCCCGTGCTCAAGCCCCTCGCCCGTGCTCAAGCCCCTCGCCAGGGATTTGTTTCTTCCGCTGAAGCCTGACATCCTGGATTCTTCGGCGCGCCCCGGAGGTTCTTTCCTTCCTGATGGGCCCCCAGTGGGGCCTATGCTTGAGTCGGCCGCCGGGAGAGTTGTTGCTTCGCTTGCGCCCGCCAGGTCTAGCCCTGGGGAGGAGGAGAAAAGGAGGAGGAGGAGGAGGAGGAGGAGGAGGAGGAGGAGGAGGAGGAGGAGGAGGAGGAGAGGTTCGGGCCGGATGAAAAGGGGGTGATTGGGAAAGGGGGGGTTACGAAATCTGCTGCGTGCAGCTGGTTTCGGCCCCGCCGCCGGGCCCAGTCCTCGATACATGTGCGCCTCCCGGCGCCGGGAGGCGCCTGGAAAATCAGCTACGTGAGCTGATTCTCACCCCCCCCTTTGCGATCCCCCCGTTTCGCCCGGCCCGAGAGGTGACTCTGCTCGCTCCCGATTCTGGACCTCCGTTGCGGATGTACCACCCAGGGGGCCAGGGCCAGGAGGCAGGCCTTCCCAGAAGGTGGCAGAGTTTATCATGAGGCTGGAGGCCTCCTGAGCTCTTGACTTCCTTTGTAACTCCATCCTTTCTCCCCAACTTGCTGCTCTTCCCTCGCGGTGCCCCTCCGCTCCTCCTTCCTCCCCGTCCTCCTCCTTCTCTTCCTTCCTCCTCTTCGTTCCTCGTCCTCTCTTCCCCATCCTCCGCCTGCTCCCATCTTGCCCCTCGCCCCTCCTCCCTCCGTCCTCTGCCGTCCCTCCCTCGCCCCGCCTCCCAGAGGAGGAGGAGGAGGAGGAGGAGGAGGAGGAGGAAGGAGGAGGAGGAGCAGGAGGAGCAGCATGAGGAGGAGGAGCAGGAGGAGGAGGAGGAGGAGGAGGAGCAGAAGGAGCAGCATGAGGAGGAGGAGGAGGAGGAGGAGGAGAATGCGGAGGAGAAGAGAGGGGGGAGGAGGAGGAGGAGGAGGAGGAGAGGAGGAGGAGGAGGAGGAGGAGGGGAGGAGGAGGAGGAGGAGGAGGAGGGTCCCCCCCTCCCTGCGTTCTCCTCCCTCCTCCTTCCCACTCCCCTCCCCCCCGTCGGCATGGGGCCCCCCTCCCTCCTCCCTCCCCTGTGCCCCTCCTCCTCGCTCGTCGTGTCTCCACCTCCACCCTGTGTCCTCCCTCCCTCCCTCCCTCCTGGTGATTTCTCGCCCAGTCGTGCACCTCTCCCCCCTCCTGGTGACTCCTCCCTCCCCCTCCTCCTGGTCTCCTCTCTCCCTCCTCCCCCCATCCTGAGTCTTCCTCCTCCCTCCCGTCTCCGTCCGCCTCCCGGCTTCTCGCCCAGTCGTTCACCATCCCTCCCTCGATCTTCGTCCTTCGCCCCCCCCCCCCCCTCTCTGTCCCTGTCCTCCTCCTCCTCCTCCTCCTCCTCCTCCTCCTCCTCCTCCTCCTCCCCCTCCTCTTCCCCCTCCTCCTCCCCCTCCTCCTCCCCCTCCTCCTCCCCCTCCCCTCCTCCTCCTCCCCTCCTCCTCCTCCCTCCCCTCCTCCTCCTCCTCCTCCTCCTCCTCCTCCTCCTCCTCCTCCTCCTCTCCTGTCCCTCCCCTCCCGCCCTCGCCCTTCATCCTCCCTGCTCGCTTCTCCTCGAGCCCGCTTCCTCGGCATGCCTCGCTCCTCCCTGGTCCCTCGCCGGCCCCGCGCCCCCCCTCCATTCCCTCCTCCCTCGCTTCCCCCCCCCGGCCCCCCCCCCCTTCCCTCCTCCAATCCTCCCCTGGTTTGCCCCTCCCTCTTCCCGCTTTTTGTGCCGGGGCCGGACCTACATGGTGTTTTGGGCGATTTCGTGGGCCGTTGTCGTTTCGATTTTTTTTGTGAGGTAAAGGCGGCTTCGAGACAAAAGCGAGGGAAAACGAAAACAAAACGAACGAAACACACCGTTTAGGTTCAGCCCTGTTTTGTGCTGCTTCTCGTCCCCCTACTGGCCTCT